GAAGATCGTATACCATATATTCTCGAGGAAGAAAGAGAAGCGGAATGGGAAAGAATATTGTGGGAGGGTAACGCGGAAATCCCCCCGGAATTACGAATTTTTCCCAATTCCCCCGTATGGAGTTCCAGTCAGGAATTATCGTATTTCAATTTAACGCCGGAAGAGTAAATTCGGACGTAAGTTATAAGATGGCTTAAAATATTAAATATTTTTTACAGAGCTCGCGTTTCTAATTAATTTGCATTATTCTTTTACAGAACAACAAGGAGGCACACGCGGACGCGTTCTCTCCTCCTCCGAAATGGAACCGGCGAGAGAGGAGCCTATGGAGGAGGAAGAAGAAGTTCCTCAGGAGCGCGGTAATGTTAAGTTTAATTATATTGAAATACGAGAGGAAAACGCGCGGCGGTTTAGAAATTTCCATATATTAGGACGAGAGGCTAGTATAAAGATTCTCCCGCCCGTCGAAGGCACCGACATTGGTAAACATTTAGAAAACGCGTTCCGCGAAATCTATTCTTACGCTGTTAATTCCGCTAACGCGAACGATTACGTGGAGCTGTCTTTCGCCTCGACGTTTTAACACGCGGGCCGGCCGGCTTGTCGTTTCGCCCGGTGCGAGACTTGACTCACGAGGATATCTGGGGCCTCGTAAGCTCGGTAGCGCAGAGCGCCGGGGGTCACGATATCGCGGAACGCTTTTTAATAACTGTGTACAACGTCGGAATGCCTTCGGGCCGAGGAGGAAAATCGAATAAATTAACGCGCGAAGAAGTGGTAAAACACTCGATCTTAAATATAAATAATCGGGATAATATGTGTCTCCCGCGCTCCCTTGTCGTGGCTCGTGTTTATTGCGAACGCGGCAGTACGCACGGGCGAGCTTCATAGAAAATGGGAAAACATAAGGCACCCATATTCCGCGTTGCAGAGACGTTTGGCGGAAGAACTAACGAGAAACGCCGGTATATAGTTTTACCCAAGGAAGGATGCGGCATCCCGGAGATCGAGCGTTTTCAGCAGCTTATCTCGCTAGAAAATATCGCGATTGTCGTTTATAATTTTAAGAGTTTCGGTCGCGGAGTCCCTCCGTTATATGACGGACACTCGACGCTAGCCTCTCGTTCTCCTATAGACAAGTATACAGGGTGAATATTATATACCGGAACACCTGAATATCTCGAAAACAAAGCGTTGTATAAAAAAATGTTAAATACAAAAGTTGTAGGGTTTAAAAAGATCTATTTTATGATATTAGCAGTTTGACCTTGAGTTGCGTCATAAAGATCAGGTCAAGGTCACAATGATGTTTTTAAATGGATACCCCCATTTTTTA